CGCCAAAAAGTACATACCAATCGATGTTAGCAAGATAGCGACCGAGCTCAGCTTTACGGCTGGCACGCAGATCGCGTTTAAGGATGAATTTCGTTGTCTTCTCTGTCTTCTTCTTTGTCTTTGGAGAACATAGCACTGTATTGTGATCAGACAAACCAAACGGTGGATAGGACGAGGGATTATCATAGAATACATGAAGGTTGGTTAGCATGAGCTCAAGGATTGCGTTTTTCCTGGTTGTAACTTTGACAGTTTGCTTCAGGAGAAAATGATTGAGTATAGGCTGAACATCAAGGCGATTAAAGTCTCCACAAACAATAACAGCACAGTTTGGGTACTTGGATTCGGCCAAGGAGAGGGAGTTGAAAAAGTGATCTCGGACGTTACCGTTATTTGTAGTCGCTGGAGCAGGAGGATGATAAACAATAGCCAAAACAATGCAAGAGAACCCTCGTGGAAAGTGTTTGGGTCTAAGGTGGACCCATAAGATTTCATGATCGGCGCAACGGGTGAGATCTTTGAGTACATAAGATTTGCTATAAGTGTCTTTAACGTACAGGCAAACACCACCATGTTGGACACCTTGTCTATCTCGACGAGTGATTGAATAATTTGGAATCTCAACAACGCTGTCCGCGATGTGCTCTTTTACCCATGTCTCAGTGATGCATAATTAATCGATGTCCAATCAAACAGCAAACTCAGCAACTTCAAAGAATTTTGGTGTTAGAGACATAACGTTGGTCAGCATTATTTTTGGAACATTGCACTCCTTGCAATTTGGCTCAATTTGCTTGAATTCACGCGCGATGGATGGGTGACTTTGAAAACAACGAGCGGAGGTGAAAACAACGAGCGGAGGTGACAGTATCAGTTTGAGCATTGAACCTGTGAGCGAAATCCTTAATTTAATTTAATTTAATATAAATTAAATTAAATTTAATTTAATAATAAGTTCTTATATAGCGCATTAAAATTGAACTCTATGCACTTTACATGAACCCTTCAAGGATTTCATATCCTGCGCGCTGTTCTGTCCAGAGATTGTTTGTATCTGAATAAGATTAGGTCTGTCGCCGCTTGATCTTGATTAATTAACTTGAGTTGGCGAAGCAGGGCAGCTTGAATAGTAATGAGCATTACATAATGTCGATATTTTGTACTTCCTCGCTCTAACACGTTTTCCAGCTCTGGTACGGCGGGTCTTGAGAATTCCATATTCCTTAAGAGTAAGGAAAACGTAGCGAGGAACGGCAAGGCTAGAACAAAGAGCGCGAAGTTCACTGCTAGAATATGTCGTTATTCAATTGTTGTTTATGCCGAGTAATTTAATTCCAGTAACTTGATCTTCAGCAGAGCGGGAAACAATTCCATTTAATAGTTGGTCAGGTCCTGGGTTTGCTTCGACGTCCATGAATATCGTTAGATCTTGAACGAATAGTTTCCGTTTCATCGTCAGAGTTATTTCATCGTGTTCTCCAGCGCTTCGAACAGGATAGTTGACATTGTAATTTCGCGATAGAACTGCACGTGTGAAGTTTAGTGGAGGAAGACCGCACAATGTTGCTCATTTTTTACAGCATCGGTATTGCAGCTCGGAGGAGAGCACACAGAATGGTCAATAACTATTTTAACTTGCCGATACGAGGCATTATGAATCAATTGAACCTGGTGGATAACCAAAATCCAACGAAACAATAGAGCAATCTTTGAGTCCAGGCAGCCATGACGGCGCATACCTTATTTTTGAAAGATCTGGTGAAGTTACAGCCAAGCCGGTTAAGTTGTTGCCTTCATGTACCTCTAACCACAGGCGGTTCAAGGGTTCTGTGTGTTATTTTGGGGCCTAAGAGTTATTAAATCCAATCTTAAACCCCACAATCACATAAAATGCAGTATTCTTCAGCTGCCTGAGCTCTAACCTCTAGCCAGGATTGTATTTGCATGAATTTTAAAAGTCCTTTGAAGTGTGATAAATGAATTATGTTACAGGGAAGAAAGGAGAAAGTGAACCAGAAGAGATCCTGGCCTTGTGGTTCACTGACCGCAAAAAAATTTCCTTTCTTATATTTTAAATCACAGGATGCAGAGTATGAATTAACATCATATTCCGATTGTGTCTTTTAAGGTTACCATTTGTATAGTTTCAGTTTAAAAAGAAACTTTAATCGTCAAAACCGAAATTTGACAATCAAAAGAAACATCGCGTATGCACCCTACTCTTAACTCAGAACGTTCAGCAGGTGCAACGAAAGCAAATTCAATTATTTAATATCACTATACATGAAAATAACATAAATGCAGACCAACCTTGTCATTATTGTTTTTCTTGTATGTTTCAAAAGTGGCATCATTAAGAGAAAAACGTATCTTGTAATGTGTGGTCCATTCTGTTACATCATATTTTGGATTTCCCTGAGTAGCCACTGCACAGATGATATACTCATACAGCAGGTCAATTTGTAGGTAGTCGTTAGTATTGTTTTTATCCTTGGGTGCCCATGCCTTATTTTTATTCAGTCGACCATATTGAGCTTGATACCTACTATTAAATATTGAGGTGGCTGTGAAGCTGCTGTCTGGAATTTTACCACCGTCAGCCAGACCAATGGTAGTCATATCACAAGCTGCAGATAAAAATAACAACAATTATCAGCCTTCATATTTTTTCAATGTACATCTTCTGCAGCATCTAAAGGATCCCACCTCAAATTACCGGTTACCATCCCTATCATATATAATTACAATATATCGAATGCAAATATTCTTTTCAAAGTGAGTGTTTGAGCACTTCACGATAAATTTACGATAATTTCTTTTTGCGTTAACAGAGAAAGTTGTAAATGGCTAAATTAGTTAAAAACCAAACTTTTACGGTTTAGATGTCTTTAAAGCAATATTTCAAAATGAATTCTTTTGTGCTAGATGAAGCAACTTTCAGGGTTTTCAATCCAATGTAGACTTTATGAGCAGTATATTGAAACAAAAATGTGGGTCACTTAATTTGGCTTATTTTCTCTCATTATAATCCTTCAACTGTGATTAAAGTTCAAATTTTTTCCAATGGGCCATCCATCAACCTCAAATCATATTATGATTACCGAAAAGAAAACTGTCCCCGAAGGAAAATAAAGAGAAAAAAGGAAAGCTTTTTCTTTACTTATTTTGGTGGTCAAATTTTCTAACTTGGGGACGTGTTTTGTAGAAGGTGATTATAAATATTAATTATCAGTCTGAATTTCTGGCCCAAAACTATAGTGGGATACATGAGTAAACAGAATTTTTCTGTAATGAAATTATAACTTTAGATGTTATAATTATTGACCTATCTTTTCTGTTGACTTAACTTAATTTTTGGATACTCTTAATACTTGAGGTAACAAATGGCAATCTTCAAAGAAACTGAGCTTTAAAGTCTTAATCTCCATAAGCATGCAGGAGTACATTATAAGTTCATCACTCACCTGACATTTTTTCTACCCCAAACACCTCTATTCTCATACACACCCCGCCCTGGTAAACTTTTGGCAGGAATCGCAGATATCTCGTTAACACTCCATAAATAGCATGCTTCACTGCTGAGTTTCTGTCGTCATTTCCCATCAAAACCTAACAAAATAACAAAATACTTAATTTATCTGACCATAATGAGTTTTTCTTGTATGTGGGTAGAGATGAGAGCATGTACAGACAATGATATCCATAGGCAAAAACAACAATCACTGGAATATTACTGAAGTACATCTATTTAAAACTTTTATCTCATGCAATCAGGAATTTCATATTATTAGGACAGTTAAAAAAACTCTATCAGTGACTTAAAACAGTCCATGAAAATATTTGTAATGTAATTTCTTTCTTTCTTGGCAGTATTAATAATAATAATTTTTATTTATATAGCGCTCATATCCTGAGCTCATGGCGCTTTACAATACTGTGCAGGAAATTCTACCAGACTACTAGTGGTAGTTTACAATCAATAAAGACGAATTTTACAGATGCCCCCTTCCCCCAATTCCCAGTAACCAGGCTAGACCACATCACAGTAATCTCGCGATGTGCGTTCTTTAACGTCCCCTGCCCAATCAAATTATCTAATTAAAGATGCAGGAGACGGGACCTACGATTTATTCGTCCGTATTTGTCATATACCTTAGCTTTTCCACCCTCCCTGTAGTCTGTCCAAGTTGTTCCATTTGTGGATACTTGCAGTGTGTAGTTGTTCACCCACTGATCTGCTTGAGAATTCCCTTGAGTTGAGACCGCACAGATGATATGAAGTGTCTGTAGATCGATCTGTAGATAAGGATTAGTGTCATTGGTTCCTGCACACCATGATGATCCAGATGAGTAGTTCAGACGACCATTCTTGGCTGGTGTGCTGGCATTTTGTACAGAAGAAGAAGTTATGTGACCATCTTGAATTGTTCCACTTCCCACTCCAAGATTCAAATCAGTGCAGACTCCTTCAGAACCAAAAACTTCAATTGAATTGTATAGCATATTTAAAGTAATTATTGTTACAGGGATAAAGGTTGAATGTGCCAAGAAACACATGCATGGTTTGGACCTCTATGAGGTGTGTCTAATACGATGTCCATGTCACAGATAGTCTGTAGGGCGTAAAACATCATTGATCAATTCCATTACAAATAAGGAAGAAATCTCATTCTAATCAAAACTGCTGCATGGAAATACAATAAGTAGGAGTCATTTCTTTAAATGTCCATGTTGGAAAAAATAAGGAAAGATTTTATTTTCTAGAGAAACTGTTGTGGTGCACTGGAGAGCAAACGAAGCAATTGTTGATAAAGGTTATATTACAATAATTGGAGTATGTGGTTCCTGTGTGGTGTCCCTTTCTGGTAAAAGACATTGTTTTGCTGGAAAAAGTCCAGAGAAGAGCGTCGAGACTGGCTCTTGGCCGAAAGAGGGGCGAAATGGACTACGAGGAACGTTTCTCCATTTTAAAGTGGTCACCATTAAAGAATCGAAGACTGTATTTTTCTCTGATCGAATGTTGTAAATGTATATTTTCTCTCAGTAATCTCGAATGCCAAGACTTTTTCCAGTTAGCGTCAAATCGAACAAGAAGTAATCATAATTACAAGCTGAGGTTTCAAGCATCCAGTTGTAACTATCACAAATATTCATTTTTTTGTGAGAATTTTAAAAGAACGGAACGATTTACCTGAGTGGGTTGTAGGGGCGGGAAATATTCCATGTTTTAAGCGTTCTTTAGGTTCATTTTTAAATATTTCGTAGTATTAGAATCTTAATATTAGAATATTTTTAAGATTTTTCTTTTGGGAGTTTTTTTACATAGGGCCAACCTTCTAAACTCCCTTTTTAAAGCATTCCTTGTACATTTTTCTTTGTTTTCAAATGCTTTGAATAAACGTATGTATGTATATAAATGTATGTATGTCTGTATGTATGTAGGTATGTATATGTATGTATGTATGTATGTATGTATGTATGTATGTATATGTCTCTTTGTATATGTATGTATGTATGTATGTATGTATCTTTGTATATGTAAATAAGGTTATATTACATCACTTGTCACGTTACTTGTTTCCTCATTTGGCCATTAAATACAGTTCCTGTCGTCCACTATGTACAGGACTTACATGTCTTAACGGGTATAATATAGATAAACTATCACCGCGGTAAAAAAAAAAAAAAAAGATTTGAAACCCTTCCTTGGGGCAAAGAGAGGTTCACTTTTAGTGTAAATGTGCAGTTTCTAGAGTGCAAGGCAGGAATGTACAGGCTAATCAAAAGGAAAGAGCTGAGTTAACTGTTCATGCTGGAATAGGAATAAACCATGATGATTGGTCCATACCTCACTATGCATACCCTTGATGAAAGATACAGTGGTAAAAACAATGGACTATCTTTGGAACTAGCTTTGTATTTGAATTGTAGTAGGTTAAATTAAACGAAAGCCTTTTCACTTAAATGTTTAACTAAAATCATTGAGCAGATAAAACAGCTAGAATAATTTCCGAGAGTGGTTTAGTCTGAAATTAAAGCAAATGTTACCAAACGATAGATTCAATGGTACAACATTCGTTTCAGACTCTCCGTCTGTTTTCTAAATAATTTAAAGTTAAAACTGTCCACAATGACTTTGGTAACTTTTCTTATTCTTCCTAACTAAGCTATTTAAAAAAGCACAAACAGATTTTAAACTTTCCCGTTCATTTTGAGATCATATTTTAATAAAAAATTACAAAACCCGGAGTAGGTCTCTTATCTTTTGAATACTGATGGTATCTTCCCTAATAGGCGATGAAGTTAAGTTGGGACGTTGCGGAAAGGTTTTAGGCTTTGGCATTCAAAACTGAAAGATATCTCCAACCAATTTTGCTAAATGTAAAAATTTCAATAGAAAAAAGCCGTTCTAGTAGATTTCTTAGCGGAGCTCGCAGCGCCCAAAGCGCGGGCAGTATAGCCACATACTGACAGAAAATGATAGTAAACCAGAAACCCATCCAGCCGAAACAATTTGGTTAACCACCAAACTTTGTATCGGGTATCTCATTTTACTTCAGTTTTTCAGAAGTGAAGCCTTTCTCTTTAATTTGATTAAACTCTGTTTTCTTTATCATCCACCCACTAAAAAACTGTTCTGTTGAAGGACGATCTTCCCGTAATTAAACTCGTAATTGTAGGCATAATCATTCTGGTTCTTTTGGCAGACATTTCGTTCGTATTAGAAAATGAAAACAAGGAAGACCCTCTTGCGGAGTTTTTCGCAATAGGGACCTTCCCGCTGGTAAATTACATATGAATATTAAATGAATTTTTACCTCCTTCCTTGGTACTCACTTCCAGTGGAGAAACAGGAGGATGTGACGGAACTGAAATAAACACAGTTAAATAATATTTGCCAGTAAGTTATCGATTACATTATTAATAACAGCGTTATCGAATAACTGAACTTGGTGTTTTTCTTCCCTCTCAATAAATGAGCAGTTTCCCAGAATCGTTGTATACCGCGGTGACATTTATCTCCAAAACTTTAGGCTTTAATTGGCTAAAGACTCACAGTATAAGTCATTTAAGACTAAAAACTCTTCCAATGTGCATGCAAATTATCATCACAGGTTGAATTTTTTCTGTCACTTCCATACCATTTGGCACAATGTAAAAGGTCAAGTTATATCAGGAGATAATTTGTTCCATGTAGTGAGAATAGGATACCATAGATGATACAATACTTGGTGATCAGGTAACATCGGGTCGACACCAGTAGATATCAACACCTGTGACAAGTTGATTCCCAAATTTTCTTCTGTCCAACTTTAAATCTTTATTAAACCAGTTAACCATGGCAGTGGATCAGTAAGCATCATGGATAACAGTGTATGTACCGTATTCACCTACTCTGTAGCTCCCCTTCGCTGAATACCGTAAACAATAATTTTGTTTCTGTCTCAAAAGGAACAAAGTGGTCAAATGCATTGGTTACCTTTATTTATAAGTACTCCATATACTTCCACTCTCAGACTTTTCCACCCATGATATTGTGTCGGCACAAAGCGGATGAACCTTGCACTTGCAAATTCATCAAGACTATTGATAACAATGCTGTCTTTGTCTGTATTTCCAGGAAAGACCTGGAGTAAGCAGCACAAAAAGAGATACCATAAAATTGTTTTAGACTTTTATGCATGTTCAGTAATCACTAATATCAATAGTTCATTGATGGGCATGAACTTCCAGCTAATTATGACAGATAAAAATGTTGTTAGCACTCTGAAACATAATTTTGTTTTCTTACCGTGTATCTGGGTGGCTTCTGGATAGTAAGTTACCAAATTTTTGAAATAGGTAAGTTACAGTGTTGAGGGTATAGGAAAGAGGAGATTATGCCCATTGATTTCATCTCAAAACATTCTGTAGCCCGCAGAACGAGCGTAATCTTTAATGATGAGAGTTCAGAATTTAAGGAAGTTTATTGTCTATGATATAGTTGTATTCAGTTACACACCTTATGTTGCTCCCATGAAACTCAATACCAGGAACACTCTATCAATACACTTGCGCTCAAAGGTCCGATGAAGTTGCAGCTAAGTTATGTTGTTCCCTACATGCACCTCTAACCACAGGCGGCCCAATGGTTCTGTGTGTTATTTTGGGGCTTATGAGTTATTAAATTCAATCTTAAACCCCACAATCACACACATGCAGTATTCTTGGGCTGCCTGAGCTCTAACCTCTAACCAGGATTGTATTTGCATGACTTTTAAAAGGCCGTTGAAGTGTAATAAATCCATTACAACAGGGTCTTACAGAGCCTCTTTCAAAGCACCTATTCCAGAGGAGTCATCTGTGTGTCACAGTAACACTCATATGTACAATTACCTTTAATTTACAAGTCAATTACAGTACAGGGTATCTCTAACTTCCTGTGAAAGCATAGATAAATGTACATGCCATCTACTGACTACGGTATGAAATATTACAAGGAAGAAAGGAGAAAGTCAACCAGAAGAGATCTTGGCTTTGTGATTTATTGGCCACGAAAAAGGCCCTTTCCTTCCCACATATAAATCGCACCAATTCACACAAGATAAGCGTAAATTGAACGTTTATAGCAAACACAGGTGTGCAAATAAAAGAAAGGATGGTTAGCATGTTCAATTTCTACGATTATCGTCTTGTTTCCTTGAGGGACATTAATACACTCATACAATTAAGTACCTTGCTCCTGTTTATACATGTAGTAATCTAAATTTAAAAGGATTACTTGCAATTACTGAAAATTAGCTGCATGATGCAGAGTATGAATTAACATCATATTCTGATTGTGCCTTTTAAGGTTACCATTTGTATAATTTCAGTTCAAAAATAAACTTTTATAATCGAGACTGAAATTTGAGAATTAAAAGAAATATCGCTCAAGCACCTTACTCTTCTTAACTTAGAGCATTCCGCAGGTGCAACGAAAACATTATTTTAATCACTGTAAATGAACATCACATACATGTGGACCAACCTTGTCGTTACTGTTTTCTTTGTATGTGTCAAAACTGGCATCATTAAGAGAAAAACGTATCTTGTAATGTGTGGTCCATTCTGTTACATCATGTTTTGGATTTCCCTGAGTAGCCACTGCACAGATGATATGCTCATACAGCAGGTCAACTTGTAGGTAGTCGAAAGTATTGTTTTCATCCTTGGGTGCCCATGCTTTAGTTTTATTTAGCCGACCATATTGAGCTTGATACCTACTATTAAATATTGAGGTGGCCGTAAAGCTGCTGTCAGGAATTTTACCACCGTCAACTAAACCAATGGCCCTCATATCACAAGCTGCAGATAATAATAACAACAATTATTAGCCTTCATATCTTTCCAATTTATATCTTCTGCAGTATCTACAGGATCCCACTACAAATTACCGGTTACCATCCCTATCATATCTAATTGCAATATATCGAATGCAAATATTTCCTTTCAAAGTGAGTGTTTGAGCACCTCACGATGAATTTACGTTTATTTTTTCTTTGCGTTAACAGATCAAGTTGCATAATGGCTATATAAGTGAAAAACCAAACTTTTCCTGTTGAAATATCTCTGAAGCAATATTTCAGAATGAATTTTTTGTGCCAGATAAAGCAACTTTCAGGGTTTTCGATCCAATGTAGACTTCATGAGCAGTATATTGAAACAACAATGTTGATCAGTTAATTTGGCTTATTAACTCCCATTATAATCCTTCAAGTGTGATTTGACTTGAATCTTCTTTGAAGATTGCCATTTTGTTAGCTCAGGTATTGAGAGTATCCAAAAATTAAATTAAGTCAACAGAAAAGATGAGTCAATAATTATGATATCTTAAGTTATAATTTCAGTACAAAAAGATTTTTTCCAGTTATGTATCCACGACTGTTTTGGGCCAGAAACTCAGACTGCTAATTAATAGTTATAATCACCTGCTACAAGACTGACAGAGACACTTCCCCAAGTTAGAAAATTTGATCACCAAAATACGTAAAAAGAAAAGCTTTACTTTTTTCCCTTTATTTTCCTCTGGGTAGAAAATTTTCTTTTCTGGCAATCATAATATAATTTGAGGTTGATGGATGGCCCATTTAAAAAAAAGTTGAGCTTTAATCTCCAAAAGCATGCAAGAGTAAATTACAAGTTCCACACTCACCTGACGTTTTTTCTACCCCAAACATCTCTGTTCTCATACACACCCCGCCCTGGTAAACTTTTGGCAGGAATCGCAGATATCTCGTTAACACTCCATAAATAGCATGCTTCACTTCTGAGTTTCTGTCATCGTTTCCTATCAAAACCTAACAAAATAACAGACTCAATTTATCTGGCCATAAATGATCTTTTCCTATATGTAGGTGGAGATAAGAGCATGTACAGACAATGATATCCATAGGCAAAAGCAATAATCATCACTGGAATATTACCGAAGTACATCTATTTAAAACTTTTGTCTCATGCAATCAGGAATTTCACAGTATTAAAGCAGTTAAAAGACCCTTATTAGTGGCTTAAAACAGTCCATGAAAATATTTGTAATGTAATTTCTTTCTTTCTAAGCAGTATTTGTCATCTACCTTAGCTTTTCCACCCTCCTTATAATCTGTCCAAGTTGTTCCATTTGTGGATAATTGCAGTGTGTAGTTCTTCACCCACTGATCTGCTCGAGAATTCCCTTGAGTTGAAACCGCACAGATGATATGAAGTGTCTGTAGATCGATCTGTAGATATGGGTTAGTGTCATTGGTTCCTGCACACCATGATGATCCCGATGTGTAGTTCAGACGACCATTCTTGGCTGGTGTACTGGCATTTTGTACAGAAGAAGAAGTTATGTGACCATCTTGAATTGTTCCACTTCCCACTCCAAGACCCAAATCAATGCAGACTCCTTAAAAACCGAAAACTTCAATTGAATTGTATAGCATATTCAAAGTAATTATTGTTACAGGGATAATGGTTGAATTTGCCAACAATGTCCATGTCACAGATAGTCTGTAGGGCCTAAAACATCAATGATCAGTTTCATTGCAAAATTAATAAGGAAGAAATCTCATTCTGATCAAAACTACTGCACGGAAATACAATAAGTAGGAGCCATTTCTTAAGGTGTCCATGTTGGCGAAAATAAGAAAAGATGTCATTTTCTAGAGAAACCGTTGTGGTGCACTGGAGGGCAAATGAAGCAAATGTGGATAAAGGTAATTTTACAATAAGTTTATCTTACGTCACTTGTCATGTTATTGTTTCCTTATTTGGTCATTAAATACAGTTGCTGTTCTCCACTTTAGTTTAGGACTTACATATCTTAAGAGGTATAATATAGATAAGCTGTCACAGAAAATTTGAGAAAAGAACAGGTTTGAAACCCTTCCTTAGGGCAAAGAGAGGTTCACTTTTAGTGCAAATGTGCAGTCGCTAGGGTGCAAGGCGGGAATGTACAGGCTAATCAAAAGGAAAGAGCTGAGTTAATTGTTCATGCTGGAATAGGCGTAAACCATGATAATTAGTCCATAACTCATTATGTATACTCTTGATGAAAGATACAAAGGTAAAAACAATAGACTATATTTGGAACTAACTTTGTATTTGAATGGTAGCGAATTAAATGGAAATCTTTCCACTACTCTGTATAGTTAAAGTTATTGAGCAGATAAAACAGCTAGAATAGTTTCCAAGAATGCTTTAGCTTGAAATTAAAGCAAATGTTACCAAACAATAGCAGTCACTGAAACAATATTGGCTTCAGACTCTCCGTCTTCTTTTCGAAATAATTTAAGTTTAAAGTTGTCGAAAATTGACTTTCGTAAATTTTCCCCTTCTTCCTAATTAAGCCTTTTATTAACACACACAGGTTTTAAACTTTCCCGTTCGTTTTGAGATCATATTTCAATAAATATTGATATTGATTTTGTCCGCACTCAGGCGATGAAGTTAGGTTGGGAAAGTCCGAAAAAGGCTTTGGCATTCAAAACTGAAAGGTATCTCCAACCAATTCCGCTAAATGGGGAGTTCGCAGCGCTAAGTGCACGCAGCGTAGTTCCATACTTATAGAAAATGGTTATAAAAACGGAAACCCATGAAGCCGAAAAAAATTTGATCAAGGATCAAAATTTGGTAGTGTATCACCGTTCGTCCGTAAGTAAAAGGTACTACTTTTAGCGTGCGTGGCCAACTGCTTTGCGGACTCGTAACTAGCTAGGGTAATACGCAAGTGTGAATGTGTGCGTATCTTAGAAAATCCTACATGCTAGGAAACTCAAATAAAAAATGATGAAGTTCGCATACTCGCATGTCACACTTCGGTGTACAACACCGAGGCACACAGTTAGGCATTAGACGAGGGCTTCACGTAGGCTTGAAGATGTCAAGCCGCACAAGCAAAGAGTTTGCAACCCGCGTTTGAGCGGAAAATCAATACCGACTAGGTTGTAAATGAAAACTCCATTGATTCTCGCTATTATGCAATTCTAATCAACGTACTTGTAAAACAATAGTACTTATAGGTAAAGCTATTTCAACCGGAAGAAACTCATTTTATCTGAGTTTATGATCAAAGGATTTGAGTAAAAATAGACAGGTTAGGGAAAGAAGAAGTAACAGCTGCGAGCGAGTCGCGAAAACGCGAAAGAGAGCGAAAAACGACATAAGAAAAATGGGCAGGGACACGGCGAGAGGAACGCGAAAAGGACATGAAAACGACGAGCAACGTGAGAAGGAAGAAAAAAGACCTACAGAAAACAGAGTGAAAAGGATCGAAGTCAACAAAAAAGAGAAAGCGAACTAAGAACTGTGGTAATGGCCTTGCCGAAAAGTGAAAAAAATTAAGTTGATTCAGCGATGTTTTTGTTTACAAGAAATCTGTCGCGGTAATTTGATTTTGACATGTGATAATTTACGGACTGCCAAAATGTGATGGAAACAAACCCATGGGGCTCATGGATATATTTCCGTACTGCGAAAAGAGTGAACAGTATTGTTTGGACATGGCAATTTCTCATAGCTCTGTTTTTATGCTTTCTACTCTATTCCCTCGAACTACAGAAAATAGTTTGTCTAATTAACAAATCATGTGGCCACTTTCTCCCCGCTCAATATCTCGAGGAAAAATTACGTGATATTTAGGGGTGTTACGAAAACTAAGACCCTCGAAAACAAAGACCTAAGACCTAAGACTCATCTTAGTTTTCAAGATTACGAAGACCAAGACCCCTTAAAATTGAATCCATCGAAATATAAAGTCAAATTGTAACCAAAACAGGTCTAATCTGTCAAATTATCTCCTGTCCGATCCTTTCCACCGAGTTTTGGGTCAAATTTAACGGTAAATTTAACGGTAAATTTAGGGGACGGTACAAAACGTGGACCCCTGTTCTGGGCCCCCTTTTGGACCTCCTTTTGGACCCCCTTTTGGACCCAGTTTTGAACCCCCTACTGGACCCCCTAAGTAGATTAAGAAAGGATGAAAACAATAAATACCTGGTGCGACTTAGTAGGTCGTCATCAAAGTGGCATTTCATGCTACAAAAATTTGCCTTAATCTTCAAATAGTGCTACTAGAAATGTTAATTCTCCCGTGCTATTGTGGGTGCCATTTTGTTTATAAGTTAGAGTGGGGACCTCGGCACAAGGCTACAAAACTTCCGGTGTTTCCTCTGATCGGCCGCTCCGATCAGCTTTTTTTCCGCCATTTCTAGTGGCACTTTTGAAGATTCAGGCAAATGTTTGTAGCATGAAATGCCATTTTGATGACGACCTCCTAAGTCGCACTAGGTATTTATTGTTTTCATCCTTTCTTAATCTAGTTAGGGAGGTCCAGAAGGGGGTCCAGAAGGGGTCTAGAATGGGGTCCAGAGGGGGGGTCCACGTTTTGTACCGTCCCGTAAATTTAGGGTTTTCGTAATTTCAGAAACTGAAACCCCCCTTAGTTTGTGGGGGGGAGCGTTGCGTGACGAGACTAAAAATGACTCCGAGGGAGACAAGCGTAATGGCTGTTGTTTACAGTTTTTAAATTCATGAGTAATTTTCCATATTATCCGTTTAAAACTCGTGAATCCGTTTATGTAACGTACTAGGTGGTTTGCTTTGCAACCAATCTCTAGAGACACAGGTAACAATGGTGAAAGGAACAAATGCTGGTGGACGAACAAAAGAAGGAATGAGATATCTATTGTTTACGTCCACCAACATGGCGGCAATAACATAACGTGCAAACCACCTATAGGTGGTTTCCAACCAATCTCCAGAGACACAGGTAACGATGGTGAAAGGAACAAATGCTGGTGGACGAACAAAAGAAGCTAATGAGATATCTATTGTTTACGTCCACCAACATGGCGGCAATAACATAACGTGCAAACCACCTTAGGTGGTTTGCAACCAATCTCCAGAGACACAGCTAACATTTCAAACTTTTCATACGATATTTGAAAACCATATTTTATTAAAATTTGACTCACGCTTATTTGGCGTACTTCGTTGTGTGTTGATTATGTGGTAAACCCAAAAGCCATTCATGACTCTGAATGTACTCAACTTGATATAACCGATATGAAAGCATTTTTCAAGGGAAAGGATGTAACGTTGTTCGGTTAAAATTACTTCAAAGGCCATAAATTACACCAAGTTTACATATGTAAACAACTGCATAAACACTCATATCATAGCTGTATTTAGAGGCATATATATTTGGGTAATGTGCTTCTGCCTTATTTTTGATTATGTTTCTTTTTAAACGTAACCTTTTAATGTCCTCCCTGAAATGCTTGCAAATAATCAAAATTTATGTTTTAATTCAAGTGTGAAAAGATTAAACTGAAGTGGCGCAGGAAAATCAGGCGAGCAGGTGTTAGTAAACTACTTAATGTATTAGCATTCTCCTCGATCTGTAATTTAATTGCTCTGGTTTTTGTTTACAAAGCTTATTTTACATTACCGTGTGCCAATCAATAATTAAAATCTCAGTCAATAGATATGCAATGTTTTAACTGTTACAGTAGTTTAAAATTCCGTCTTTAAGTTTTTGGCGTTTACTGTTTTAAAATTTTAAAATGGTATTGCTTTTTCATCCTTGTAAAGTGATATTACACATTTCTATTTTTAAAACCTTTATCATGAAGTCAACTTAATATCAATGGTATTGAAGCTTCATTCTGTACAAGAACACTTTACTGAAGTATAATAATATTTATTTGCTGTCCTTCTGACACAAATGTTGTTCATTGAAAGCTGAGATACAGAAGTTTTCAAAGTTGCCAGAGATAAAGAAGTGAATTCTTTACATCTTCTCATAATTCTCGCAAACAATACAGCTAAACGTATATGTGAACGATCCTTCGCAGTAAAGCACTATTTGAGCAATAGTGAAAATCAGACCTGAAAAAAATTTCAGGCCTGTACGGGATTCGAACCACTGACCTCTGCGATACTAGTGCAGCGCTCTACCAATTGAGCTAACAAGCCAACTGGGAGCAGGCCATCAAATTAATTCGACATAAACCCGTAGATGATAAATCAAACAACAACAAACATATGAAACATATGTATGAACTGCGCTGCACTAGTATCGCAGAGGTCAGTGGTTCGAATCCCGTACAGGCCTGAAATTTTTTTCAGGTCTGATTTTCACTATTGCTCAAATAGTGCTTTACTGCGAAGGATCGTTCACATATACGTCTCATAACCGCAGTTCATACATATGTTTCATATGTTTGTTGTTGTTTAATACAGCTAAAGTTTACTACAATTTCAAGCTGTCAATTGAATTAAAACTTTGAGGGGATTGTTCATTATTGGCACTGCAAAGAATGCTACAAATAATCTGTGTGCAGGGAATGACAATTATGCCTTAATGCTTGACATGCTTCACTCAAGAATGTCACTTTTGTAAACTTACCATTTCAGACTGAAATGTCTTTAAACAACATTGTTTGGCATAGCTGTTCTCTGTTGAACTTTGCAGCCCAAAAAGCTACTTATAGCACTGAACTTCAAATTTACATTCATGCAATACTCTATTTGTATAAAAATTATAACACAAACTGTACACATTATGTTTGCCCCTTACATTTCTTGGTAACAATAATTAAGACTGTTGGGAAAGTAAATAAGCAAATGAACAGAGGACTGTGAATTGAGTGGAAGCTTAATAAACTTTACAATTTGATGGAAAAAAATTCACAAAAAAACTTATGAACTTAGGAAAACTTCATTGCCTCCAATGCCTTTCATGTTTTTGACCAAAAAAAAATTTAATCAGATGTAAGGTTTGCCTACAATGAGGCAAATTACCAGTGTGGTCCTGATTCTTCTCATGGATGTCAGCCAATAATGAGAGAATATTGACCGGCAATAGGGCATTTTGATTGGTTGATTTTAGTTATTGGCCCTCTGACTGCCCGAGTCGTGTAATAAAAGATAGATATTTACTGAAAATTGATGGCCATAAGAAAAAGATACAGTAACTACACTTCATCAAAAGTATCACTTTTAATTGGCATTTGTATAATTTATATATGACGCTCTATAAACTGCTCCACGCGGTTTATATAAAATGTTAAAATTAAATGTTAATAAATGTTACTAAAATGTAATAATTTTAGAAATTTCTCTGTTTTTCAGCTCTGAAATTATACTAAAACAATTATTCGCCTCAGGTTCGGTGAATATTGTCGAATAATCCCCTTGACTTCGTCTCGGAGATTATTCGACGATATTCACCAAACCTGAGGCGAATAATTGTTAAATATAGATCATGGAACAGGATGGTCTGGCTAAATGTGAACTTGACTGTAACAAAGGTGACTAATTGGGTTCTTGAACACCTGGTAACTAGGCACACCTTAGCTTGCAATTCTGATAATTACAGTTTGCTGAGGTTATCGAAATTTCAGTCCCTATCCAGGAATGTACCTTTCATATGACCTCTACAGTCACATACTGTGAGATAAATGAAAAAAAATGTATTTTTTTTTATTAGAACTACTCCCCATTATGGATGTAGACCTGGTTTAATGTGTACATGAAGATTATTGTTCCAGGTAGGCCATATTTTTGTAACTAGTTGAAAAATGTTCAAGATCAAGTCATCACAGGATAGTATGAGTAACCTAAACTGAATAAATAGAAACTTGAGATTTATTTGTTCTCCTTCGGAGTTGTGTATCAAAGTTTAGAAATCATGGCAGGCTTACTGCAGGTTTATAGGAAATCTGCAAGCATATGTGTTTTCAACACTAAAACTGGGATTGTGACTACTTTAAATGACTTTACCGCATGCCATATGGGTATATGCAAGTGTTGAAAAAAAATTTCCCTTGTTCTTTTCATTAGTACATATTCCTTTTTTAAAGAGTCTTGTTTCAGTATCAGGCCTACACTGAATTCTAATATTTTTTACCTAATTTACCATTCTTTTGAATATTCCTAGATCTCCTGGTATCAGTTGCCAACAGGTCTTTTAAAAACCTTAATATAATTACACGAAATCTTGCAGATGTATGGCAAATCACTTTTAACCCTGACCCTTTTAACGGCTTATCATGTGTATATGACTGTAAAAGTATAGTCAAGTTAAGGTTTTTTAGTACAGCCTATGCATCAAATTTGTGTAATAAAATACTGTATCCTTCCTAAAACTAGTTCATATAAATAAGAATGAGTTACCGAGCACAAGTATGGCCTTTCCTCACAAATACATCTCTAAATCTGCTAGCCTACTAATATCCTCAGTCCCTTGTCGGAACAGCTTGTCGAGACAAGCTGAAGTATCATTTCCTACAGTTTTTCTTAGATAAGGTTCAAGCACGTTTTCTAGTAATTTTAGTGCGCTTGCATGCAGAAATGTGTATTACATGTTCCAACCATATCCGTATCGAATAGCATCTGAGGTCTTTTGCTTCCTGTCACGAATCGCTAGTGGTAATTAATGATTGTAATCGGATTATATTCAGTCATTTTAATGTCGAAACAAGGTAAAAACAGTCAACGCTAAGGAAATAAGTGCCGTGCACGAGTCTTAGATCACGAAAAAACAATAATGAATGTTTGACAGTTTAGGTTTGCTGTCGGATGTACGTATCTAGGGCGTTTACGTGTGATAACAATAAAACTAGGGAACTTTGTAACATTAAAGAAGATGAGAACAGTTATGATGAACGAAAGTATGACTTCAATAAAGTGAAGAAAACGACAGCTACAGTCCCAAGTGTTTGTTGAACCAGCGAGTGCAGAGATATCCCTAACGCAGTGGAAAATTCCGTAAAACAGCCCAACCTCATCAAAAAGTCAGCAACAGGCCCAAGAAGAAAATTATTGATACAAACAGCCAAGCTCTCTTTGCACGTAAACCCACCTCAATGCTGTTAACTTAACTGAATATGGCATTTCAGACACGATGCACAGCTGTATATGCCACAAATTTCCTATTTCAAAATGGTGTTTACAATTTGCGAAAAGTGGTTGGGTTGAAAAGTATTCCAAATAGTTGCCAGCTTGTCACGGTATTAGTGGAAAATGGAACAAAAACTGTGCATGTTACATCAGTTGGTCAATTTTAACAAAAACCCAAGCCTTTTCAAATAGTTTGATGATGAAATTTGTCATAGTGAGCCAATAGATAATCAAACGAATACATTTTAAGACCAATAAGATTTAATGTAGTGTTTCATGTTAAAATGTTGCCAAAACTCTACCTTCCAGTAAACTCATTTATTTGCGAACATGACAGACTACCATTGAAAACTTTTCAACCTCTTTTTAATGTGGCCAATGACAACAAAAACCAAAGTTTATATCTAAAGATAAAACTTGCTTTATCTTTAGAATTAATTCCTGTAGTTTGCAAATGAACTCCAGTTATTTTTTCTACCCATGTAGGTTTCTACAAATATCTTCATTGTCGAATCCGAAAGCTCTCTTGGTCATAAAGTTTGAAATATGATATTCTAGATCTCGCTTGTTTTCTATAAATCAACCTTTCGCAGCGCAAGAAACAGATGCTAGACAAACTTCGTATTTCAGTAGCTAGAGTTGCCAAGATCTTGGACAGATGGTTTAAAGACACCGAAATTATATGCAGCTACAGCAGAGGTTACGGAATTAAATAACCGAAAGTCTCAAAAAGAAGCCGTGTATTTACAGCCAGAAGATCTTGAAACGCGAATAGTCGAGGGATGAGTTACAAGAATGACAGGTTTACCCTCGAGTTGAAAGTGACTTTCTTTTTAATTTTCTATGCTTACCAAAGGAGACAGAAAAATCAGTGACGCAAGCAGTCATACCTGGTGACATCAAGAAAAGGTATAAGAGAAGCACATACGATTCCGGCGTATCATTTCACTGACTGACTGTTCTCACCTGCATACCCTTCGATCGACCGGTGATGTCTTAACTCGAAGTCGTTTACCGTCGTTTCTTGCAATTTTGGCTCATTTTCTCTAATTGATATTATCATTCACACAAAGTAGAATATCATTTCAACTGACACTGACATCATACACTTCATCTGAAGAAGAATACATTCCCTATCTTCGAAAAAATCTGTTCAAAACATCGGGAACAGCGACGAAGTTCTTTGGCTGCATAACATGCGTGTTGTGAGAACATTGTCCCCAGGTTCCAGACCCCGTCAATCTCCCCCC